TTCTCTAGAATATTCCACAATATTCTACACAATTCCAATAATTTCAAGTATTAAGTGGTTTAAGTTTGGCTTAATTTCTTATTCACAAAACAAGGAATTTCCACTTAAATCATTTCAATTGGTTACAACCAATTTTCAATACAAAATTTCAACAAAGGGGATATTCAAAATCCTTGTAGTTTGCAATTGATGAGACTCCACCATTTCAATTTAACTAATTATTAGAGCAAATAATATAATTAATAAGCTATAAAAAAAAAAAAAAACTGCTTTTTCGAACCTTTTCAGTTTTTCAATATTGTAGAATGCCCAAAACTTGTTTGGTTTGGAAATGAATTTCTAAATGAATAATGCTATTTGCAGTCTCGTTATGCTATTTGGAAATGAATTTCTAGAATGATTGTCGTAATGAATGATTACGAATAACATTACTCTTTCTAAAATCAAGATTAAACATATTATTAAATGTCAGCCTGTCAGCCTGCCCATTTTTTTAAATGTCAGCTCTTGTCCAAATTTAAAACCAGCCTGTGTTCCCATCAGTCCAAGCCCAGGAAAAAAAAAAAAAACAAAAAAAACCAAGGCTTGTGTAGTTCAAAAAGGCGAGACTGCAGTTTGTGTTGACAAGAGAAACATAGGCGCAATTGGGGTCAAAATTTCCTCTGGCATTACCTCTCATGGTTTAGCATTTAACATCAATCTGAATTTGAACTACTTCAAGCATATTGTGCCTCGTGGGATTGCGCATAAAGATGTCACCTCTTTACAGAAAGAAGCAGACCGTGTTCTTCCTTCTGAAGAAGTGATACACGACCATTTGGTTGCATGTTCTTGTAAGAATATTTGGCTATACCGATGTTATTTGAAGAGATAGTGCATCGATATATATCCTCATATAATATACAGCCTTCAGTTTCTCATTTTTCTGATCTGTGTATGCATAACGAGCTTTTGATTATGTGTAAATTTCTTATTAGTAACAAAATTGGAATAGGTTTCGTAGAGCCAAACACAAACGGAAGTAGAAAATGCAGAGTCATGAAGACAATATCAAACACGAACAACAAGGGATTTGATTATTATTTAGGGCTCAGAACACAAAGATCATTGTACCCTTTTGTACAAAGAAATGACAACAAACCCTAACGAACATGAACTACGCAGCTACTCAATGGTTCAAGATTGCACAACCAATCTAACACTCTAAAAATCTCAATCGAATAATCACCAAGACCCCAATTACAAAGATTTATGATTAAAAGCAGTAGTTTTAATCCTCACACAAGTATCGAAAGATAGAATGAAGAGAAGAAAGCACGAAGGAAAATCCAGAAGCTTCTCACACACACAGCAGAAACAAAATGAAAAATTCACGAATAAAATGACAATTAAGCTCCTTTTATAATCATTCTCATCACCATAGCTTAGGCTGGAAATCAAAGGACTGGAGCAACACACGTGTCACTCTATTGGGTAGGGTTTTTGAGTCGATTTCTAATGTGTTATCGGACAATGTTTGAGTAGTATAAAATCATTCCAGCAATGGGCCAAGCCCACATTCCATCATTACCCAAAGGATTGGATGCAATTGACAAGAATGTCATCACAACCCATCAAATCTCCCCCTTGATGCCAATGTTTTAAACAACCAAACTCATCAGTTTTCATCAACACCACCACCAGGAAGAGCCAAAACCTACAGAAACACAAAGTTTAACCAGTATCAATTATTAGAATTTGCAAACAAGACTTAAATTTGTTTAGAGGAAGTACATTTGTTCCCATATCAGCAAGATTAAATTGTGTAGGGATTTTTTCAAGCAATGTAGACTCTTTTTGAATTATATTTCTAATGAAATGTATCCTAACATCTATGTGTTTAATCA